ATAAAATCACAAATTTATTATAAAATTTTGGAGTTCTCACAAAATGTCTCACGAAAACTCGCTTTTTACTTATATAATATATAGCCAGATAGATAGATGTGCCTAGCATATATACAATTTTCATGGGCATACATACAATATTACTTTTGCTTATATAATTATATGAAAATTGTATGTATGTCCGTAATGTCCTAGTGTATTACGGGCATACATACATTGTATGGAAATATCTGTAGAATATATTGAACAAAAAGGAGAAGAAAAAAAAAACAAATAGAGAGAAAACCGGAGAAAATAAAAAAATAAAAAGAAAAAAGGGAGGAATGTGGGATCATGGGATCATGGAAGGATGGGTGAGAAAAGAAAAAAGAAAGAGAGAAAAACGAGAAAGTAGAAAATGTATATGGAGGACATTTTTTGAAAAATATATCTCAGCCATTGTTTTATAATTTAAACAGGTCTGAGCCATCCAAATGTCCTAATAGGATAAAAATATGTTGAAGATTCAAAAACCGTCCTGTTTTATTATATAAATATTTTTACACAAATTTGTATTAGTATTTGTATGTGACACTAACAAATACACACAAAAAAAAAAAAATACAGTGGTGCTAAATGCACTAATTAATATACCAACATATGTTATGATATTATTACTGATCTCACTCATTATACAAATTATAAATATTCAAAATCTCTAATATTATGCCACATTATCGGTTAATACACTTATTGGTTTACTATTTTGTGCATATAGTATCATTTCTCATGGATAGAGAAAATTAAACTAATAGCTTTTAATGGGATGCAAGAGCTAATAAATAAATTGAATTTAAAATATTTTAAATCATACAACATCGCTATATTCACATAATTTTTACAACTCAAATGCACACAATTGGAACTCTTACTAGTAAGACTTTTTGAAACAAAAAAACCCTAACCAGTAAGAGTCTCATTTGGGCATATTCAGAAGGAAAACATTGTGTGAATAAATCATTAATCTAAATCATATTAGTGTTTGTTTACTTACTTCAACTTAGGAGATTAATTTGGTCAGCTATGTTTGACTCAGTTTTCTGAATATGAAAACGAAAATGATGAGTGCCACCAAATTATTTTTTAATTATTTAAAATTTCTTTCAAAAAATAGGTTTTAAAAGCCAAACCAAACTCTAGTAAATGGATTGGACACTCTACTCATCTTATCTCTTGTGGGCTTGTCTTTTTCTTGGGTGAGTTTGGGACTTGTCATATAACTTGCTTTGATTATAAAAAAATTTATTAGCCAAAATAAAAGTTTATTATATATATATATATATTTTTTTTTTTTTTAGAAGAGAAAATTTTATTATCTTTAAATATACAAATACATCGAGGCAATACAACTATGGATAATAACCCTTAACCAAAACAAGAAATAAAATAAAATAAAATTAGTGAGAATCCAACAAAAGCACACAACCACAAGTACAATAGAACTCTCTAATCAGCAAAACAAGAAAATTACTAATAATGAAGTCTGAACCACCCAAAATAATAATAAGTGGAAATTGTATTCACCAATAATTATTGTAATAGCTCAATAAGAGCTGAAATACAAAATCCATTTCCTAACAGACCATAAAACATATTAAACATTTGTTTTTCCAAATGATGGTGATGATTCTAAACCACCATAACATCAAGTGTTGAAATACAATAATATATGCAATTTCAAAATCAATAGTTGCGTTTCAGCTGATCATGTTATTCAAATAAGACCTCAACTTTTGTATGTGCCTTATTAAAAATTAATTACTACTAAAATTGGTGTTACTACATAACTAAAACTGGTCAAATACACAATCTTAATGAAGTAACACATTATAATAACAAAAAGGAATGAGTTAACATCCATTACTGTAGGGGATTCAGTGTTTGAGGATCCTTTTTCTGTAAGGAGGGAAGTTCTGGCTCACTTTAGGAAGCATTATGCAGAGGAGTGGGTGGTTAGACGTAAGTTAGGTGGTTCATTCAAATCTGTTCAAACCAGTCCTCAGTTTGAAATGCTTGAGGCAGAGTTCTCAGAGTCAGAGATTAAGGCAGCTGTGAAGGATTGTGATGGTAATAAGGCTCCTGGGCCTGATGGTTTCAATATTCTTTGTTTTCAAAAATTCTGGAAGGTGATGAAAGGGGATGTGATTAATTTTTTCAAGGATTTCCATAAGAATGGTAGATTGGTGAAGGGTTTGAATAATTCTTTCATCACTCTTGTTCCTAAAAAGGAGAATCCTGTGGGTCTCTCTGATTTTAGGCCTATTAGCCTTGTTGGCTCGGTGTATAAAATTCTAACAAAGTTATTGGCAAAAAGGCTAAAAGCTGTGCTCCCTTGTGTTATCAGTGAAACTCAATCAGCTTTTATTGGGGGGAGAAATATCCATGATGGTGTTCTTATTGCGAATGAAGTGGTGGATGGGTGGAAGAAGTTGAAGAAAAAGGGTGTGTTAATTAAACTTGACTTTGAGAAGGCTTTCGATTCGGTAAATTGGGGATTTCTTCACTGAATGCTTCTGAATTTTGGTTTTGGCTTAAGATGGACACAATGGATCATGGAGTGTGTCACTTCAGCATGTATTTCAATCCTTGTTAATGGTTCTTCTACTGATTGGTTTTGTCCACAAAGGGATCTTAGAGAAGGAGATCCATTGTCCCCATTTCTTTTTAACTTGGTGGCTGAGGGATTAAATGTGTTATTATCTAGAGCATACCAGTTGGGTATTATTAAAGGGGTGAAAATAGGTGTTGGGGGTGTGGTGTTGTCTCATTTGCAATTTGCGGATGATTCCTTACTTTTGTGCGAAGCTGAAGATAAGGAGGTTAGAAACCTTAAGAGGATTTTAAGGTGTTTTGAAATTTTGTTTGGGTTGAAGATTAATTACCATAAAAGTCAGGTTTGTGGGCTAGGTGTTCCTGATGGTTCTTTGGACAGATTTGCTGCCATTCTGAATTGCAAGACCAGTAAGCTGCCTCTGCAATATTTAGGGCTGCCATTAGGAGCTAATCCCAGCAGTAAAGCAACTTGGAAATCAGTGGTGGATAAAGTGAGAAGCAGATTAGCTAGCTGGAAGAGGAAACTTTTATCCCATGCTGGTAGGCTTACTCTTATTAAATCTGCGCGTGCATCATTGCCTGTGTATTATCTGTCTTTATTCAAAATGCCGGATGAGGTAGCTAGAGTGTTGGAGAGATTGTAGGCTTCATTTCTTTGGGGAGGATCAGAAGTAAAAAGAAAGGTTCATATGGTCAAATGGGAGGAACTGACTAAAAGCTTGGAACAAGGGGGTCTAGGGTTGAGAAGAGTGAAGGTAGTAAATTCTTGTTTACTAATCAAACGGTGGTGGAGGTTTGGGTATGAAAAGGAAGCATTGTGGAGAAGAATTATTTGTAGTAAGTACAAAGTGGACTTCAGGGATTGGGTTCCTTCTGCTTCTATAACTAGTTCCATGTCTAGTATTTGGAAAGGTATAATTACCATCGCAGAGTCAAATAACACCCTGTTGGAGTTTTATATGAACAACTTTCAGTTAAAGATTGGGGATGGGAATAATGTTAGCTTCTGGATGGACAAATAGTGTAATAATACTTGTCTTAGAGAGGAGTTTCCTGGTTTGTATGTCTTGGTGGTGGATAAGGGGGAATCATTTAAGTCTATGCATGCTAAAAAGGTTGCTGAAGGAAATTGGGTATGTCAGTTCCGGAGAAGGTTGTATGATTGGGAGGATAGTGAGATGGTAAGGCTTAGAAATTTCTTGTTTCAGCTCCTAGTCCTACAGCAGATCAATCAGACTGTCCAGTGTGGAATGCGACATCCTCTGGGGTGTTCTCGGTGTGCTCCATTTATAAAGGTTTGTTAGTTACAGCAGGCCCTCTGTTAAGATCTTCTAAAGTGTTGTGGATTTCATACTTACCTCCAAAAGTCCAATTCTTTACTTGGCTAGCTTGGAGAAATAGAATCAAGACTTCAGTATTCTTGCAACGGATCGGTGTCCTTCCTAGTTCTGCCTCCATAGTGTGTGTTTTCTGTAAAGAGGTATTGGAAACTGTGAATCATGTGTTGGTTTCATGCCCATTTGCTTGGAAGGCGTGGTCTGTTATGCTGGATTGGTGGGATGTTGTGGGGGCCTTACCCAAATCTGTAGGGGGAATTTTATTTCGGTGGGAAGGTCAGTGTTTTAGGAGCCAGGAGAGGAAGATTTGGAGTGGAGTGCCTTTGGTTGTGATGTGGTCTCTATGGAAACATAGGAATGATATAGTATTTAATGCTTCTACTTCTAACTTTGTGGAGCTGTGTGAAGTGATTAAGGTGAGAATTGTACTGTGGTTGAAACCAAGGTATGCTAAGCATCACTTTTCAGTACAGGATTTTCTGGTAAATCTTAGGTAGGTGAGTTGTTGTCTTAAAGGGAGGGGTATGTAACTCTGCTGCTGGTTTTGTTCTGGTTTTCTTCTGGGTTTGTTCTGCTGCTGGTTTTGTTCTGGTATGTCTGGTTTGGTGTTTGGTGATTTCTCTTGGAGTCTGCTGTGGAGTATGCTGCTTGTTTGGAGTTTGGTGATTTCCCTTCTAGCCTGCTATGGAGTCTACTGCTGCGGAGTCTGCTGTGGAGTCTGAATCATACCCTTCTTTTTTGCCTATTTGTTTGGAAACTCTGGTCATGTATAATTCTTTGGTGGGGGTTGAAGGAAGGTCAAGTTTGGTGGTGCAGGATCAAATGCATATTTTCTGCAGGTGAGATTCAGAGTTGGGAATTGCAGTCGGGATTTTCATGAGAAGATGTGGAGTGCTGGTTTTGTGGCTGCTGTTTTGGTGCTCTTTGTGTTGGTGGCTGCTGTTTTGGTGCTCTCCTGTTTTCTGCTTTCCCTTGGGTTGGTGTCTTACCAACTGGGGGTGCTCTTTTTGTTTATTGATATTTGTCAATGTCCTTGCTTGATCTTTATCAATAAATTTCCTCTTTTGGCTGTTTCAAAAAAAAATAATAACAAAACTACATAAGGTAAATAAAATAAGGACAAATACAAGAAAGAAAGGTAAAAAAAAGAAAAAGCTTAGGTACAAGCTAGGCTTATGTACAGCTAGAGAAATGTTTGTGATAGAATCATCAAAGATAGAGACTTTATTGAGTTGAGTCAAGTTGAGCGGAGCCAATGTATTTAAATTTTTAATTTAATTAATAAGGAAATAGTTGAATGGGAAGACCCTTCTCCGGGATGGGCATGGGATTAACAACAATCTTCTCATTGGGAATCAATTTCTCCCACTTGAACCTCTTGACAAGGTTGTGCATGAATACCAATATTTCCAAACGAGCATACTCTTTTCCAGGGCACATCCTTGGCCCTCCTCCAAATGGTACAAATGTGTAAGGCGCTGGTCCTCTTCCTTCAAATCTCGATGGATCGAATTTATATGGTTCCGAGAAATATTCTGGATTTTTATGAGTCGAGTGGGTGCTCCAATATATCTACATATATACAAACATTTAAAATTTAACAACAAACAAGAAATGTGAATAATTAACTTAACGATTAAATTTTGTACACAGAATGTGTTTATTGCATTTATAGAAAAAATCTATAAACACATAAACTTATCACATAATTAAATACTAGTCTCTCATAATTTGTATGCAAGTAGAAGAAATGATAATTAACTTATGAAGTAGGTAGTATACCTTCCAACCCTTTGGGATATAGAAGCCTTCGTACATGAAATCAGTCAAGACATCTCTGAAAGCACCTTGAACAGGTGGTGCAAGTCTCAACACTTCACAAGCTACATTCCATGATAATTTCATCTTTTGAATGTCTTCCCAATTTAATAATTCATCAGGACCTTTCGATTTTGCAATGTCCATTTGCTCTGCAGGTTCACAAAGGATCAGAAGAGAAAAAGAAAAAAAAAAAAATTATGTTAAAATCATAAAAACTATACTTGTCATCCCAATTCAACAATTCATCTGGAGCTATTGGTAACTCTTACTTTTCTACTCTAGCATTCCTCTTTTAAGCATTACATCTTAAATTGTTAAAATTAAATCTATATCATAATTTTTTTCTAAAGGGTGAATTACAAATACATCCCCTAAAGTTTGTTTAAAGTAAAATTGCAGCCTGTAGTTTTAAAAATTGCAAATACCCCCCTTATTAGAATTTTTAATTTAACAAAATTAACTAAAAATGAAATTCATAATTGCTCTCTGTTAGTAATGGGCGCCCATGAGGCATGACCATTTGAATTTGAATTTGAACATTATCCAAATAGGTTTTGAAGTTGAATTCAAACCTATTTAGGATAACCACTCAGGATACAGATATTATCTCCATTAACTGATATGGATAGATAATAATAACATACTATATATCTGGTATATGGGTTATGGGTGATTAAGAGAGAAACAACGTATGATCTGAGTTTTACCCATATACTGACTCTCTCCCAAAAACAACGATCAAGTCATTTGCACTGTGATTTGTGTGGGTGATATTCAATCTGTGATATCAC